GGGCATGCCCTCTCCCCTTGGCCCCGCCCTCTCCCCGGCCCCGCCCTTTCCCCTCATCCCCACTCTCTGGCACAGCGCCAGCTGGGGAGGACCTACTGAGCTACACCAGCATGTATTCTAACCCTGGTCTTGAGTTCTTAGCAAACTGCTTCACTTATCCATACAAATCCAAGGTAGATTAGAAAGATTTTATATAGTTAGCTAGACTTTTGATTTGGGACGGGACTTTGCACTAGCAACCTGCAAGTGCATGTTCTAATAGTTCTGTTTTCTTAAAACCACACCCAGATTTAAGTAGTATCTGTGGAATGCCTTCGGAATAAAAGGAAATGTACTTTCACAGACTTTATGTTTTATAATATGAACAACCTGGACAGGGTCACAAATGGAACCACCTAAAAAGTGACAGAAGACGGGTTATAGGCATAAAGCAACAGGTTGCAAGGAAGGTAAGAGAAAAGTTGTTTCTCCAAACCCCCCTAAAATCCTGAAAGAACCGAAAATTCTGAATTTTGAAAGCAAAAGACTATCATATAAATAAATAAAATAACCCTCTTCATCAGGGTTTCAAGATCTGACTCCAGAATTTTTGGCATGCCGTACTGAATAGTAGCATAGAAACATAAGATGGACTAGTGGTGAGTAAGTTCCAGGAAAACGGCAGTAATTCCTCCACTTGTAAGAGGACACACACTCACTTGTCGAAGGTGATTGTAAACCACATTCTGGAGAAATTCAGAAGACTCAGGCTCCGCTTCTAGATGGTGAGGACATGGAAGGACGGCTTGCATACATGCTTCTAACAGAGTCACCGGCATTCTAACACTGCAGGGGGAAACGGAGGCCCTCAGTCAAGAGCAGAGATGTTCCTGACATGTCTCCCAGGCCGTGCCTCGGGGACTCAGTGTCCTGTAGCAGTCTAGCCCCAGGCGAGGACCCGCAGCATGGTCCCCCAAAGCAGGAAGGGTACTGTGCTTGAGAAAATCAACCCCTGATGGGGGCAAGAGGGGATAGTGGGTTTGAGTGAACATATAAATGCCCACAGAAATACACCTGCATTCATTCAAGTGATACAACCAACAGTAGCAGGCTATTTAACAAATTTCAA